TGAATAGGTATAACGACAGAATAAAAAGAGCAAGTGCTTGCAACATGTCATTATTCTCATGTCGAAAGACTCAATAAGAAATCTATTTAGCTATATATTATAATATATGTTATAACATGGTTTCAATTGGCACAATTGATTGGCTACGGCGTTATGATTGAATTTATATATCATACTATTCACAGTCGTTAAATCGCGTGGATTTGTGAACATCTATGATGATAACAATAAATAAAAATTGTTTAAATACGAGCTGTGTTCAACGGAAAAAAACTATCGGAAAAGCTGATGCAAGAAGATAAAGTAAGCTTATTAGTTTTTTACTGCAATCTGAAGTTATAGCGAACTTTAGAGAAACATGAGATACGATCAGAAATAAAGTCTAATTATATTTTGTTGGCTTGAGACTACAGTACATCAAGAGAGGATTGATATGTACATTTCACAAAGAGTTTACTGACGACATTGGTTATTTCTTAGAGTATCTAGAAATTTGCATAATATGTGGATATAACAAGCAGGCCTTAAGGGCAGTGACTTTTTAGTGAAGATACTGGTTTAGAACAGGTTCCAGCTAACTGGTCATGATGTGCATAAATATGGAGAATATGGCAAATATACTGTTATAGTCGGACACATACGAATATTGCTAAAAAATAAAAAGGTAAATGCCTTGACCATGAGACAGTGTCGTACATTGGACTTTGTCCAAGTATTAGTATATCAACAAAAAAGAGTGGTATAAGATACTTGATTCTATGGGAATATTTTCATGGCATATCGAATGTCATAGTCATACAAAAGCTTAGAGTCATCTTGGATTTTAAGTGGCCGTGTGACATAAAAAATAGGATAAACCAACTGACACATGGATATTCAAAAATATGTTTTTTTGAACAATCTGCAGTATTCCTGCACATAAGTTCACCTTCTTAGGATTAGCACCCGAGACGCGAGACATAATACTTTTTTCTTTAATTCATTCTTCTACCAATCCAACCAGATGGCAGAACAGTTTGTTGACGTTATAATTACCATAATAAACAATAAACAACATGCAAAGAGAAAGTTCATCAATAAAGACGAGCTGCTTTCTGCTTCATATTTATTTACGAGTACTATCATACATCCACGCGATCTGAACCAATATGCATACATATTTATGTGGGATATCCACCTTGACATTGTTAACAGACTCGTGTTGTTTCGATTATATAAATTTTAGTCGAATGTTAAGTTACTGTACCGTACTTTCTATGGCAATTAATCTGAATATGCCGTGTCCATTAAAAAATCTGATTGATATTGTGATTTATCAGGCGATTATAATTTTCATAAACCATTTTTTTTAATGAAATTAGATTTGGAATAGCTTAGCAGCGTGGTTTGACTCTCTTTGACGATTGACATGCTTTGGAATACAGCATCTTATCAGAGACTTTAAAAGTTTGAATTAACTACTGATCAAAGAAGATAGCATATGCCTTATAATACATGTCCTGTCAATGTGGCTGAAATTTTTGTGTTTGTTCTCCAAGTTTGAACAAAAGTATTCATTGCAAAATAATTCTAATATCAGCGGTTTCCGAGTTAAAGGGAGTTCAAGTTTGAAAAATCAGTAAAAGTTATGAGCTTACAGACATCAACATGATTTTATGATTTCTTTGCCTGCTGTTCAGAAACTTAGTAGCTACCATTATAACCTTGATATGACCCATCTACTGGACGTTTGCCAACTTCCAGACATATTTTTGATACCTTCTTTGATGGTATCAAATCACTACAATTCTCATGGAAAATAAGTTGGTCAAACTGACTGATAGTATGTCGTCAATACTAATTTAATCAAAAACCTTCATGGGCAGAAGGTTCGAGTATGAATGGTTTCTTAGTTACAAATTAAAGGGTGCGCAAGACGATCAAATTAAATGGAATTTCAGTATGTTATTCCCCATACTTTTTTTGATGAAAAGTATTCATCAGCAGAAGGCTCTTATACCAATGATTTCCGAATTACAGGGTGTACGAGTGTAGCAACTCCAAAAAAAAAATAATTTCGAGAAAGCGCCATCGTGGCCGTATAGTCTTTTTCTGTGAATCTTAATGCTGATTTGATCCAATTTCTGGATGTACATACGAGTAGATATATTATTATAAATATTTGTATAAATATGAATGTGTGTCCAGTCTGTCAACATCACGCCCGACCGACAATAAAGGGAGACGTAAAAATTTATATACTTGCTAATTGAAACCGGAAGGAGGTTTATACATGATTTTATCACGAAAATATAGGGTGTTCGAAAAGTATGGATGTATCTAAATATCTCGAAAAATACGTTTTCTAGCGGCACATGTTGTTGAACAAAGTTCTAAGGTTTGGAAAGATTTATCTAATGGAGATCCTGAACGTGGCCTTAACTATGATCTTCATGATCGTTTGAAAGTTAAGACAGTTTTCTTGAGCGAAACCTCTTTTTTGTACCAGAAGTGTGTGAGCGGGAAAATTTACGTGAAACTCTATCTTTGCCTTGACTGTCCTGGGTATTTGAGGGTGTCCAGAAAGTACGGCAAGGAAAGAGTATCTCAAAACATACGTTTCCTAAAAAAAATGTTGTGTCACCTAATGGTGAAAGTCCTCCATGTTTTTCTGCCCAATCAAACCACATGTGTCACAAAGGTGTCTCAACTGTGACCTTCGTCAGTAATATGACATTTTTTGACAATAAAAAGATATTGCAAGATCGACCAAAACTCGGTCCTTAGGAGGATCGGGTGCGTTTAATTCAAGTTTGCTTGTTTGAGGTATCTACAAATTGAGATTTGACCACGTCATAAATGCCTGTTTTTTACTGGACCGTTTTTAATTTTCTTATGAATTGAACCACTTTCAAAAAACATCGAGACCTGTTGCTTGCCGTATAGCATCTCTGTTCCAAATCGATTGAAAAGATGAAGCGTAGCCTAGCTGTAGTCGATGTAAGACACGTGTCCAGTACATATATGTGTAACAACAATAACAATCAGAATGTTTTGTTGATGAAGTGAAAGTTTTGTACTGATATTGCAACAAAGGGAGCGGCTATATGGTAGTGTGTCGCAAACTTATTTTTCGTTTTAAAGGTCATTCAACTATGGTACTATGTAGTGTTTGATTGTAGGTTGATCAACTTGATGTGTGTGTTCATGTAGGTGCAAATAATTGCAATCAATATACGAGCGTTACTCGATTTGTTCTCACTGAACACTTTGTATCTATTTTGCCAAAGGAAGAAGGAAATAATTGTCGTTATACACAAATTAAAGGTTAATAATACTCGTGTTCTAACTATGTCATATAAGCTTTGGCACAAAATATTTATAGTATTAATTTTTAATTAAAAAAGTTATTTAAACACTAACTAGTTATCATAAATTATAACTCAATACTTGACTAAACTATACCATCGAATTACGTGAGTGGCCCATTCTGCCCTACCAGTCGCAACTTTCTTCGATTGCCTCTCTGAAATGTTTTCATTCTGGAATATTCGACAGAATTCAGCTTTTGGTACCCGCCCAACCAACTTTTAGATCTTTTTCTTATTTCTAATTTATACAACACCTCAAAACAAAAACTTCAAAACAAATAAATGTCAACTGACAGTAAAGTAAGTAAACAAACTTTTGTTTCCAAAGGGAACTTGATATTATTTTGTGTTTGTTAAAATTAAAGCCAATGAATTTTGTGCCTAAACTTTTAGGGTATATGTACGATATTGAGCTTAAGCTGCTAACCTATCACCCCTTTTTGTCTCTCTATCGGGGTTTTTGTAACCACATAATCTCAGTAAGCATTACAACGATTTGTTTAAGATTAGAAGCGAAATGCAATGTTGTCATGCTGGGTGATATTTTCGAAAGACGGTGTTTGACATTTAAGGTCATGCCACCACTTGCTCGGTCTGCTAGAGTATCCTGTTGAGCTTCTTGAAATTCTAAGCCAATCCTGCTTTATACCGATGTAATGTCATCAAAAATCGGAATGTTAACCTGTGTACTAAATAGTCGCTGGTCCATTCCGCACCCTCTCGCTATGAGTGCCACCTATGGGGGAATGGAACAACGGCCGTGATTCCATAATAGCATAGAACGTTCATCTTAGGCCATAGGTTCTATAAATGGCACCCAGTATGTCCATCTTTGAAACAGATGTTACATCAAACTATAGCCAAACCATATATGTAGCTCAAGTGTAATGTGTGATGACGTTTGGCCAACACATACAGCTAGTAAAGATGAAGAGAATGAATGACAGTTCCAAGGTGACAATTTTTCGGAAAAAACCTACAAAATCTCATTAGGCCTCGAAGTAATGTCACTTTTCAATTTACATAGTAGGGGTTCAGTGCAGATCTACAGATCACGCCCCTAGTTTCTTTTAGCTTCTTTATAGCTCTGGAGCTTTGCCTCCGTGTTTGATGTAGTACAAGCAAGTCTCGTATATCAGTTTTCGAGTGGCCACACGATATCCTCTGATAGTCATATCAATACGTTCGAATGAAGCTTTATCGGGGTACATATGAAATTACATAAAAATATATGAATGAAGTCTTTTGAAATTTCTGTTTATGCGCCCTCCACAAAAACAGAAAAGAAAAATATTATTTAATCTCTGCGGCCATATTTCTTATAGAGACAAAAACTGTTCTGCTAAGGTCCCAGATGATGTCATATAGAAGGACGTTGTCAGCTGTTTGATATAAGAAGGCGTAATCAGCGATAAGACGGCATTTTTCGCCAAAAAAGTCTTGACATAAAAACTGCCGCGGATTTTTTATATTGAACAAATCGTACAGTATTTATGTGTCATGTTTTGGACACATCCTTAGGAATATTCCTGGAATATTGTGAATACCTACATTGTATACTTACGAGCATACCGCATGAAGAGAGCATTCCACACTGTGGTAAGCTGCAGTATCACTGTGAAATTCTAATGATTCTTTCTTGAATTTTAGAACATGTACAAAGTGACAGCTGCGTTTCTGACATGTTTGTTTACTGTCAACGCCTACAGACTACAGAAAGATGTTCGTCCGGAACATTACAAGCTTGAAATCATCTCATATCTAGGTGAAAAGGACAATTTCAATTTTGATGGCAAAGTTTGGATAGATGTAAGTATATCATACTGTTTAAGTTTTCAAAAAAATTATATCTGACACGTCACTAGAGTCAGGGAAAATACCACAAATTGTGTACTAAACATTTTTGTTCCTCTTTTCAAACACCTTTTTTTGTGGCCGCAAAAAATGCCTATAGAGCTGGCCTAGACATTCATGCTAATCCATCGTTTTGATCCAAGTAAGTTGTCATGCAAGATGTAGTATTTCCATTTGCTTCAAAATGATGTAATTTTTCAACAAAAAAAGGTTACGCTTTTTTGTTGTTTTTAACAGGGAGGCAGTATTTTGCAAACGATTTGCAATATTTAGAACTCACAAAAAGCACAGGACCTTTTTTTGAATATTAGAGTAAGCAGCTTCTTGAACGGTAACGTGTAACCATTTAAAAGCTTACTTTTTTAACAAGGCAATTTGCTTGATTTTTTTTAATGTTGCCCTCGTTCAGTCAATCTATTGCAACAGAGTTTAATAAGTATTTTTAGAAGTCTATGTATATACTTGATCACCATCAGTGCGTTAAGATTTTTTACTTACTTTGATAAACGATTTGCAATTATAACCTTCATGTGCAAGAAATATAACTGACCTACTAATATAATCATTGAAATTCAGATCCAATCCACTTATATATACAGTGTTATAGTCGCAGCATATTGATCGGCGGTCTCAAAAATATTTCATGGTAAAGGTCAAGCTTTTGATTTTAATGATATACAAGGTGTTCAATAATTTCTTGCAAAAACTTGAAGGCCGTCAGAAAATCGTCTCAAATATTAGCACAGGATCCATTTTAAGCTCGACTTACACCGATATGATGGCCGGAAGGGAATGATCTTTTATGAAACAAGATATGTTAAAAAAAAATCGGTAAAAGGTTAGCTGAAGAAATTCTGAACAGGCTACTCTTGATGTAACCTTATTAGTGTCACCAATTAATATTCATGTTCTACTAAATTAAATTACAAATGTAGGAATTAAAGTTCACCAAAAGTTTAGGAGCAATAGTGGCTTTTCGAAAGTCACCTTGAGAGGAATGTTCCGTAACTCCTTGAACATTCCTGAATATTTTTTTGTTTTTCAGACTAGCTGCGTTAAGCCTACGAGTAATATAACTCTCCATTCAAAAGACCTAACCATCAAGGAGGGTGAAATTAACATAAAGGACGTTTCAAGTAATGATAGCAAAACGCAAAAGATTAGCAAAATCAACTATGACAAAGAGAACGATTTCTTGATTATCCTGTTGACAGAACCATTAAAAGAGGATCATAAATACGAAATTTATATTCCGTTCAGTGGGAAACTTGACGATGGACTTGCTGGATTCTACAGGAGTAGCTATTATGACAAAAAGAAGAAGGAGAAAAGGTATCTTCTTTAAATTGGAATTAAAATAGGGGGCTAGTGGACTTCGTTTTTTGACTTTTCAGATGCGCCTCTGACCATTTTCAGAGAAAAATTTGTCAGGGTTAAGAATAGAGGGTTGGAGGTTGTAGGGGAGAGGCTATATCTCGATTTTTTTATATGAATATAGCTCTCGGTCTGGTAGTTATACGCACCTGTTAAACATTTTTCACACATCGTAGATGTTCCAGTACATCCACACCCTTAAAACCTAGAATTATAGAGACATTTTTTCTATTCGCGTATCTGCTTCTCCTCTCTGTCTGGCGCGTCGTACGTACGTATGGGAGAGTGGTGATGCTGCCAGATAGAGGGTCTACCGATAAGGCAGGGAAAGAATTACTATGCAATAATTGTATGCGACTGTTTGACCGTCTCTATACGTTTAATTTCTCTGTTATACATTTTCATAACTAACTAACTTGTCTGACCATAATCCTTTATGAGCTGCAGACTGCTTTACGTGGGAAGCGCAAAGTCATCCTACTCGACTCCATTTCATATCATCTTTTGTAATTTTTAGATGGCTGGGAGTTACACAATTCGAAGCTATCAGTGCACGAAGGGCCTTCCCTTGTTTCGATGAGCCGGAAATGAAGGCGACCTTTGACATCAGCATTGGAAGAAAAGATGGATACCGGGCAATCAGCAACATGCCCCTACTCAACACAGAGCCACTGTAAGTAATCAAAAGATATTTCAAAGCCAATTTAAAATTAACATCTGATTTTTACTTACAATTCCGAAAGTTGACAGAATTCACATTACCTGCAACAAGAAAAATCTAAAATTAGAATGTGACCGAAACCATCGTAACGCCCGAACACTGACCATTAATAAGATGCTCTAATATTGAAGCTTAAGGAACCAGAATTAAGCACGTCGCGATCGTTCGTTATGCTTCGAAAAACATGGAACGCCATCTAGCAAGCTTCGATGGAGGCTCGAGTTCTACCTAGAAGGCTTCTGGAATTCGTCGATTCAAAGCGATTATGAGTCTAATAAATTTGTAATAAAGTTGCAAGTGTTGTAACAAATTAGTCTGAGAGTAATAAATTAGACTGTAAATAATAAAAACAATGTTTTCGTAATACTATATCAATTGAACTAGGGATATTAAATACAAGTTTTGCGAGTGCAGACAATTTAAAAAAATGAAAATGAGAAATCAAGTTGTTTGGGCGTCGTATGACATGTACATCGTCAGTCATTTCCATCGGTCTGTCTGCCTGTCGGACTGTATGGCCGCTAATCTTTGACCCGTATATCACTTGGGAAGGGTCACTCGAATTTTGCTGAAATTTCCATATACGGTTATTACTATACCCAGTGCGAAAAAGATTTATAGCTTTTGAATAACGGTCTACAGTCACGTTTCTAACCCCGGTAGCTCTACGCACGACATATTTCATGTATTATATATTTCCCCTTATATTTGACCTTGAATGATACAGATATATTTTCAATATACGCGTGCCGGATAACTCAATGAGTGTACATCTGTTTGCTTGGAATGCTGAGGGACAGCTGAGCGATGATACGTGTATCGGTGTATGCAAAGGCACCGTACTGGGCTTGCGAATGCTGCGGCAGGCTTAGTGGCTATGTTGCTGAGTGGTCGATATTGCCGGTATGGCTAAGTCGCAATGTTGTCAAATATGTGGTGTCCATAAACTAATTGTATGAGCCGGTTCGACTGACATGATCCACTATTTTCTTATAATTATTATATGTTCGTAGGCAACCTTTGCTCTGAATTTATGAATTGGTGACATCGTTGCATTGACAGTGCACAGTCAACTTACTTAATTTCTTATAGCAGTTAACAATGTGTCATAAATCCTAAAGTTTGTTTGTGAATGCTCCCTACCTTTGATAACCGTAGACAGTATAATTAAAAAAATACAGCGTAATCTAAAAGTCTGTCTTTGCTTTCCAGAAAAGAAAAAGAAGGCTGGTTCTGGGACCGTTTCGACACGTCCGTCCCGATGTCGACCTACTTGGTAGCCTACATCGTATCAGACTTAGACTACAAAACGGCTGACAAAAGCAGTAACAACGTGACCTTCAGAATTTGGGCCCGAAAAGACGCATTGAGCCAAGTGGAATTTGCGAAGGAAGTTGGCCCAAAGGCTTTGGAGTATTACGAGAAGTTCTTCGATGTTAAGTACCCGTTGCCTAAACAAGACATGGTTGCTATTCCAGACTTCAGCGCTGGCGCTATGGAAAACTGGGGATTGATCACCTACAGGTAATAAATAAGTGCAAACTTTTCATGGAATATTATCAAAGATTTTAGTTTGACGGTTAGGACAAGAAATAGGTAATTTCTTCCAGCAATTTTTTCGATAGTAACTTTTTTGAAAGTCTCATTATATCGTTGCTTCCTAATGCCGTCATTGTAGAGGTCGACCATTTGCCGTCGTTTACATAAACGCGTGAATAATTTCGGACAGGGTTTTATGTCTTCATGAAAAAGCAGATCACTCATTTCCACTAACCTGTCTATTGACAATTTTGCCACTGCGTGGCCTCAGTAACAGTTGCAACGAGTTTAATGGAAAAGAAGTGATGCCATAAGCCAGCATTAACAACTATATATCCTGCCCCATTAAGGTCGCTATAACGGTTACTGAAAATACGCAGTGAGTAAATGGCTAATTGACGGCCTGATGGAACTTGGTGACTTGATCTTCATACTGAAAACTTCAGGAATCATCAAAAGGTATTACACTTTTCGTACACGTGGTAGTAAAAAGATGGAATCATTTCAAGATTGTATCCTTGATCGTATATAATGATTATGGAGTTACCTTCACGTGAAATAATGTTAGATAGATAGATAGATGGATCTTTATTTCCAACAGGTACAATCACCCAATTACAGGTAATAGTTCAAAAAGAAAACAAGAGCAGCACATAATCCTAGTATATAAAAAAAACACAATCAAATTAATGATACAGCTAGATCAAAAAGCCAAAATATTAAAAAAAGAATAACTCTAACCGCAAGAAGGTCATTACATGCCATGGGAAATGGCAAGATAACGTTGTTTAAAGTCATTTCTAGATGAATTATTCACATCACAAGATTCACCTAAAGAATTGAAGTTCTCACACATAACCGTGACCGGCGATTTTCTCGAGATATTTGTTCGAGCTAATTCGCAGTAAAATGTCATTTGGTGACGCAAATTGCGCACAGGTACATGAAAGTTAAGCTTACTTAATATATATTCACATATGACATCATTGTGCAAAACGTACGAAGAATAAAGAAGTTTCAAAACATGTAAATTGGAAAATTGTCTACTGTTTCGGATGATGAAGCCCAACATTCGGTTGGCTGATGTTGTGATATCATTTATATGATCACAAAATGACAAATTGCTATCAAAGAGAACACTGATATCTTTAATTTGATAGCATCTATTCAACTCATTCTCGCTTATTTTGTAGGACCATGTTATGGTTCTTTCTTTCTGGTGTACGTTAATATGAAGCATTTATCTACATTAACTTCAAAATGATTAGCATTACACCAATCCAAGACAAGGTCAATGTTGCTTTGTAAAATTTGGCAGTCCGAATTTGAGCTTATGTTATGAAAAATTTTGAGGTCATCCGCATAGAGCAACTTTTGGCATGTAATCATCATAGCTAGGTCGTTTATATATAACAAGAACAACAGAGGTCCTAAATTCGATCCTTGGGGAATCCTAGATGTTGGCGAGAAAGTATCAGAGCGGTGCCCTTCATATTCCACAAATTGCACTCGAGTTGTATGAGGATAACATGGACATCGTGCGGAGTATGCACCGCGACTGTTTCATTGCGAATTTTTTGCTTTCCCTTCTCATACTTCAAGAACCATGAAGGTACCGAAAAAACGTAAAAGGCCCTTTTTGTGAAAAATTTTATTCTCTACAAAAAAGCAGTTGTGTTCTATACTCTCAGGTTCTTAGTTTAGCCATTATAAGCGGAAATATCAGCACAACACCCTTAAATTTCTCGTAAGCTGTTATATAGGACAATTTTTTATTCAATTGGAGTAATAAAGAATTCAATTCCGTACAAAATTATTTCTTTTACATTTTTACTTGGTTTTCGTGATTTTCAGTCAAACGCGTCCATCAAAATGGCGGTAAATGTTCCAGCTCTATCATGACGCCAACTTGAACTTAACTATTAGGAAGCAACAATCTAACGATACCATCAAAAGAATTTACAGTCACAAGAATCGAAGGATTTCCTTATACAAAATCTCCCTATCTCTTGAACTAGTATGTGATCAAAGAGAAAATGTTATTCTGAGATATCAGCTATTAGAGTCCCAACGCTTGGTTGCAATTTCAATATTTTTGTTGCACCAAATATACCTAAAATTTGAGTGAGTAGAATATGAATTTTCAGGGAAGCCTATCTCCTCTACGACCAGAACATCTCATCTAAGTCAAGCCAACACAGCGTAGCCTCAGTCATAGCCCACGAACTAGCCCATCAATGGTTCGGCAATCTGGTTACGATGAAATGGTGGACTGACTTATGGTTGAACGAAGGTTTCGCTACATACATGGCAAGCTTGGCAGTTGAACATCTCTTCCCCCAGTGGAATTCTTTAGAGGAAGAGGGAGCTGAGAATATGATCAGCGTTTTTTCGTTTGATTCGCTGAGGACTTCACATCCGGTAAGTAGTCGTCACTAATAGAGCCATTTAATTGAAAAATGTGCTATTACTTATCTAGTAAAATTCCTCCATTTCCACTATCATATGGTATTCATTCTTTTTGATCTGCAATTTCTTAAAAACTGTAACCAAAAAAAAAATAGTGATTTAACCCCTCAAAAATTGTATACCAAAATAAAGCTCGTAGGAAGGATAACCCAGCACCCAGCCACAGCTGATCGAAAGCTTTTGTGATATCAAGAGCAACGACATGAACCTCACCATAGGACTGGATGAGTTTACTCCACAGTGGTGTGATGTAAGCTAGGAGGTCACCTGTGGATCGGTGGAGCCGCAAACTATACTGCCTGCCGCTGATCAAGCTGTGACGTTCAAGGTACTCCAGAAGCTCCCGATTTATGCACCTCTCCATCACCTTACTTGTAAAGGAAAGCAGAGCTAAAGGCCTGTACTTGTAAGGGAATGTCTTAGATCCTTTATTGGAAAGGGTTGGACATTAGAAAATTTCCAGTTTTCTGGAAAGTGCCGGAGTTATATCATATCGGAAAGAGATGCGAAATAACTGGAGCAAGCTCCGCAGCATATCTCTTCAATACAATGTCAGGAAACAAGTTCGGATCAGAAGCTTTGTTCATGACGAGCGCGACAAGATCACCCGTCTCACGGTCTTATGCCTGAGTGTTACTCTCCGTATCGTGTGGGGAACTCTTTGATTAGACGGTACTCGGGCGTTGGGGAGGATGTCCGTGGTGGAGTTGGCAGCAAAGATATTGGCAAGCACTTCAGCATCAGCCTTTCAGTCGGTTACAATTATTCCACCCTCGCACGTAAGGCGAGGAGTTTCTTTCAATCTTCTTGGTCGGCGTCCGAATTGCCGTTGCGCCTTGACATTGCCCTATGCCTAATTCTTTCTCGTGCTGATCTTTGACCAAAGACTAAAATCTGTGTAATCATCCATCCATCTCAGGTATCAGTTCCAATCGGGGATCCAAAAGAAATCGACGAAATCTTCGACACAATCTCATACAAGAAGGGATCATCCCTTCTCCGGATGATGAGCCTATTTTTGGGAGAAGAAACAGTCAGAAAGGGTGTCAGCAAATACTTGAACAAACATAAGTTCAGCAACGCAGAACAAGACGACCTGTGGGAATGTTTAACTGAAGAAGCGCATAAAAATAAAGTTTTGCCTGGCAATTTGACCGTGAAGACTATTATGGATACGTGGACATTGCAGACTGGATATCCTGTTATCACCGTGACCAGGGATTATGAGAAAAAAAATGCGATTGTTTCTCAGGTAAGTTGGAGCAGTGTATCTACAGAACAAGGACGACTTGATATCATCGAGCTTTATCTATACCCCCATAAAAATGCCATCCTCTTAATTACTTTCGAAACACAAAAATAACGCCTTACGCTTATGAACAAATTGCACTACGGGGCTACCAAGAAGCGATGCAGACACCTGAGGGGTGATTCGGGATGCTAATTTTGGATATGAATATGAATATAGCTTACAGAAGAACTCCGGGATTTTTTGACCAAGTGAAACCACATATGCATAAATTACTATTTACTGACGTTTCAGTCACCATGGTGCCCTTTTTCAAAGTTCAGGTCAATGACAGTTCAAATATATTTCATATTTATCTGTCTGTCAGATGACAGCCCGATTTTTTTTCTTCTCTACTATACTTTGTGTTGCGACAACAGCCTGAACGGTCTTGTACCACGTCGATACTGCGCGAAGCCATCATTACAATTTTAAGAGGGCACCGCGTAAAACCAGCAAAGCCCAGGACCGCCTGGGGTTGGCATTTTCGCTCTCAATGACGGCTATGAAATTTTTGTTGTTTTTGATGTACCAGACATGTAACTCTCCCTGATCGTCCCGAAACACGCCAATGGTCCTCCGAGCGAAAACCTAGCAAGAAATGTTATTGCAACATACCGCCAATGCTGCATATGCATTGTTCCTGAATCCGAAATGCACTCGAGAGCTTGACATCTTATTTGACTATTTTACTCCATTTAATATATTTTCAGGCAAGGTTCTTGAAAGATATCGTCAACTTCAAAGATAACTCAAACCCGTGTTGGTGGATTCCTTTGACTTATTCTACGAAGAGTAACCTAAGTTTCCATAAATCAACACCAGAACACTGGATATCTTGTCCATCGGACTCGCAAGTTATTGAAAATTTGGGTGCCCAAGATGAGTGGATAATTTTCAACAACAAAATGGCTGGTAAAGGAATATAATGTCCACAATACTGCAAAAAAGTCATGGAAGATTAATACAAAAATATTGAGCATGTCAATATCAAGCTAGCTTCTCGAACTGTCCCAATCAATTTTAAATTGTATCACTCATGGATTTGAAGCTTTTAATTTTAGTAGTATTTTGTGATCCTAAAAGTGAAAATAGATTGGAGCTCTATCTAATAAAAATGTTTGCTGTAAATATTCAAGATGCTTCTAGTTACTTATTATTTACGCGTATTGTTCAGGAATATACAGGGTGAACTACGATGCCAAGAACTGGAAACTCTTAACAGAATATCTGCAAAGCGAAGAATACTCCAAAATCCCAGTTTTGAATAGAGTTCAACTGATCAATGATGCTGCCGACTTGGCGTTTGTTGGTAGATTGGAATACGACGTATTTTTCGACCTCGTAAAATATCTTAAAATGGAAGAAGGATACCTGCCTTGGAAAGCAGCTCTTGGAAAAACCGGAAGTTTGACAACTCATTTGAAAAAGTCATCTGTATATGGAATCTACAAGGTAACTCATTTTAAGAATCTTATGCTCCTAGCGTGTATTGCCAAAAATATACAGATCGTTTTGTATGAGCTGTGTTTATGTACTGCCATAAACTGAGATATTAGCAAAATAGGTGAATTTTTCTTCTTCATATCTGCGAACATCGCCATCCAGGCACAATGACCAAAAAATGTGAGCAAAAGGTAATCCAGGAAAAATATTTCTACGGAGAGTTAAATTTATTAGTTCAATCTTTTTTAATTTTCTTATTCAGTTTATATGAATTAGTTCTTTTGAGAAACTATTGTATGAATATTCCAGGTAAAATCCGAAAATACTAATTTTCAGGAATACATGAAGCAACTCTTGACACCAATCTACTCAAAAGTGGGAGGCTTAGAGATTTCAAAGACGAAGGCAGATGAGCTGGAATCGATTAAACTACAAGTTATGGTAGCTGGTAAAGCCTGCAAATTCGAAGTAGCAAACTGCATCGCTCATTCACAAGAGTTGTTCAAGAAGTTGAAGGAGAATCCACAAGGAGAGAATCCGTAAGACTTTATTATTTGTTGACGCAAAAGAGGGGCGCTCTAAGTGTGGTCGTAGATGTACATCTTTGACCTCCTAGCTTCAAAAAAGGATGAATCAATTTGAGTGCATTTTTTTAATCGAAAGTCTTGTCGGTCGAAATTTTTCGCTACCGGTATGTTTGATGAACAGTCACTTGAAGGTCGGGGTTTTCACCTGATTGGCTCAGAAGGGGGGCAATGTTTTTCGTGTGTGGTTTATACAGCGTGTTCCAGTTGATTCTTGCATAACTTTAAGATTCGATAGAACTTTTAAAATTAATGCATAAAGTCTATATAAACATGGGTCGAAAAATGCGTGGCTTCCGAAATACAGGGTGTTCAAATTTACATTCTAAAATATTTTTTTTAAACATTTCGAACAATATTTGATGTATAACAGTGAAAATTGGTATACAAATACAAGGGTTTTTTGATACGAAAAAACGAACCATGGGCATAGTTTCACTGTAGCCGCTAGAGGGCGCTCTCTACTTTACCTGTAGTGTATTGAAATGACCGAAAAAATTTTCTTAGTGCAATTTTTTGCTTTTTGAATAAAAAAGCACTTCGCACTTTTCAACATAAAAAAGCTCTCTTGTGAATTTTCGTTATAGTTAGCCATTTTTGAGATATTTCGATTTTTAAGGTTCGATGCATTTTTAATTATTTATAATAAAATAACGTTAAAAAGTCAGTATCTCGATAATTTTTAGAAGTAGGCTGTGCCTGTAAATATTTTTGAAATTGAAAGCAGAATAAGGTTAAACGTCAATTAGTTGACAGTTACTTTTGTTGTCTGTTGAATCCTGAAACGTTTTTTTGCAATTGTGTATGCACGGAATTTAGTTTCTTTTACCTGTTTTTTTTGTAAGTTTTATAAAAAAGCCATTTTTATTCTCCAATCAAGAGTTAGCGGATATTTATTTTGTGTATGGTTTTGTAAATGGAAACGCAGCAGAAGGAGCCAGAGAATACGCACGAAGATTTCCAAACAGACGACATCCAACTCGCTCAGTATTTGTAAGAGTGGATCGCCAAATAATTGAAAATGGTTTTGGAAATCTCCGAAGGGATCAAAATATAAATGTTCGTCAGCGCAGATTTACCCGCATGATTCTGCGTGAGTTTGATAGAGATCCGACTACAAGTGTTAGGAGAGTTTCTGGTGCCTTGGGAATTTCAGCAAGCCATGTTCACCGTGTTCTTAGAAATGACCATAGACGTCCTTACCATTTGCAACCTGTGCAAGGACTACAGCCAGGTGACGGAGAACGAAGAATCACATTTTGTCAGTGGATTCTTGATAGAACTGATAATAATAGGAAGTTTTTAAGTAACGTTTTATGGACCAATGAGTCGTGCTTCACTAGACGTGGAGTGGTAAATTTTCATAATCAACATATTTGATCGCATGAAAATCCGCATGCAGTTCGGGAAAGAAATTTTCAGCATGAATTCAGTGTGAACGTGTGGATTGGTATCTACCGTAATCGACTATTTGGATGCAACCTTTTGCTTGCAAGGTTAAATGCTGCGACCTTCTTGGAATTTTTATAGGCTGAACATGCAAATATGTGGGATGATGTTATGTTAGATTTAAGCAGATTGGCCTGGTTCCAGCTTGATGGTTGTCCAGCTCATTATTCGAGAATAGTTAGAAACTGGCTGGACGAAAATTATCCAGAAAGATGGATTGGCCGTGGAGGACCAGTCGCTTGGCCTCCACGATCCCCTGACCTAAATCCATTAGATTTCTTTGTGTGGGGATTTCTAAAAGAAAAAGTGTACCAGACTCCCGTAACCACAAGAGATATGCTAATAGACAGAATCAGGAATGCATGTGATGAAATAAGGCCTTATTTGAATAATGCTATACCACGTTCGATCATTCGTAGATGTCAATTGTGTATTGAACAATTGGGTTTACATTTCGAGCAACTACTTTAGATTTTGTATGTTTGTCCTAACTATCCAATATCATTTTAGTTGTAAATAATTAATTTAATTTGTTATTAATAATATTGGAAAATTAAACAAATTAATATTCTGTTTTTTGTGTTTATTTGGAGTTAGGAATTATTGCTGTGCTTAAAAACACAATCTAAACGATCATCTTAATTACTTGTAATGCCCAAATCGAAAATGAAAAAAAAATATTATTTTTCCATAAATAATAAAAAATGCATCGAACCTTAAAAATCTAAATATCTCAAAAACGGCTAACTATAACGAAAACCCACAGGAAAGTGCGAAGAATCATTTTTTTATTCAAAAAGCAAAAAATTGCACGAAGAAAAAATTTTCGGTCATTTTAATGGACTACAGGTACAGTAGAGAGCGCCCTCTAGCGGCTACAGTAAAACTATGTCCACGGTTCGTTTTGTCGTACCAAAAAACCCTTGTATACCAATGTTCACTGTTATACATCAAATATTGTTCGAAATATTTAAAAAAAAACTATTTTAAAAAGTAAATTTAAACACCCTGTATTTCGGAAGCCACGCATTTTTCGACCCATGTTTATATAGACTTTATGCATTAATTTCAAAAGTTCTATCGAATCTTAAAGTTATGCAACAATAAACTGAAACACCCTGTATTCGAGTATGTATCTATGTATCCAAAAAATTCTATTTTGTAGGCACCAGCTTGAATGGCTAGATGGATTTTCACATATGAGATGTCGTTGGATTTGTCTTAACAGTGGGAGTGGCTTTGGCTATAATAGAATTTTATAAAAACAAAATGGCGGTTTCTAATAAAATAAATTACCCTTAAAATTCTTATTTCACGAACTACTGCGTAAACGTTTTGATAAATTTTGAGGTAGGAGGTGTTACTGGATTCGTCTTAGCAGTGTGAGTGACACAGGCTATACTAAATTTGACTCAATACACCTTATTGCGTTTACCTAATGCTTCTGGGGAAATTTTCCTATGTAGTTTTGCTTACAGCTTTTCTATTTCTCCGTCCACAGCTTAAACGACTCTAGATTTTTCTTGACACTGGGTATTCCACGATTTCGTAAATTCAAAATTTGATATATAAAATTTCACCTTCCAAATTTCTATTACACTGGCTACAGACCAAAAGGGTTTTTGCCATTCGACATGTTCTTAGGTTTTGCTTGATAGCACAATTGAAAGTTCATTTTTTTGAACTAGTGCAGTCGGCCTTCCTTTTTCTAAATATGTACCTGTTATAACTTGTCAGTCAAATGACGTTAGATTTTTTCATAGCATTCCAAAAGATCTTCGTGGCGTCGTTTACTGCACAAGCCTGAAGCACGGAGGGGCAGACGAATGGGAATTCTTATGGAAGAAGTTCCAGAATTCCAACGTCGCAACCGAAAAGAACACTTTACTGAACGCCCTGGGGTGTACCCAAGAAGTGTGGCTACTTACGAGATACCTAGAATGGTCATTGGATGACACCAAGATCAGGAGGCAAGACAGCGCGTCAGTTTTCGGTGCTGTTGCTAGAAACGATGTGGGATTCTATATCGCTAGGTCTTTCTTCTACGAGAAGATTAAGGACGTCATCAAACAGTAAGTAACACAAATATATGTATAGAGAACCTAATCACATTTAGTCCTTGTGATTTTCTTGTGAATATACATTTTGAAAATAGTCCTCTGGTCCTATTCCATAAAAATACTAGACCAGTAAATTAAAAGTATATATAGATATGGTAAATTAATATTTTATTCCACCTACCACCGACTGTACTTGTAAGAAACGGCATCCATAAATGTCAAGTGCCAGACTGTCAAAATGGCATTTCGTAAATATATGTTAATCTGTAAAAGTGTAAAAAAGCAGAGAAATATTTAATAGGTAGATTTACCTACAAAGCGACAAAAGTGCATCATGTGTGGAAAAATCTTATAAAAACAAGACTGACTGTCTGCTAAGACCGTTTTTTGCCTTAATTCGGAACAACTTGCTTGTCATCGAATAAGTGAATATAATACTTTTGAAGACGGCATTGAGACGGCTTCCATCGGGGATCCAGAATTTTCACGACAAAGAGCCCCTACAGTTTAAATAATCTAGAAAGAAAAGGTACTAAAATATGAGATATATCAGAGTTGAACAAAACAGATACGAACCTGTAAGTAGTACCTAAAGTTTTGCTGCATCTAACATAATTATTTTGGAATGAGTCCATTGTATTTTATTGAAAACAAATGTGAAAAACTGCAGTGCTTTCATTAAGTCGGTTAAAAGGTACTGGAAGCTACTTAGTATTTGCAGAGTTAGTCATATTTGATGATGCTGATCTCAACTGGTAGCTTAAGTTTCCTATGTTACCACTCGTTGAATTCGAATTCTATACAAAAATTGATACACCAAAAAAATCAGCACCTTTCAAATATCTTTTGATACCCGGTATAACTGATGTCGCCATCATTAGAGCTTTTTTATATTAAGAAGGTTGTCCAATTTTTTTCTACCCAATTAGAATCACTTGTAGCAAATGTATTTGAAACAACAAGAAAAAAACTACCAACTTGAAAATATGACATTGTAACTTGAACATTTGGAGTAGTACTATAGTAAATCGAGTTTGAAACTTACATGGAACACAATATCTCGTATTATAACAAGCTACAATTCACTTGTAATTATTACACCATACCTTTTATGGTATTGGGCCCAGAGGGCCAACCATGTACAGAGTTGTTTAATGCTTACTGACAGTCATCAGTGTTGTTAAGTCAGAAAACGGAAGCAAAGTAAGCGCATCGTCTATCGAAATTCGACAGCACAATTACCATCTATCACCAGAATCGACCTCTGCTATAGTGAGCAGCAGCTTCTTATTAGAACTAGCTGTAAAGGTATTTCTCCATTAGCTGAGTCACCATCAAGTGTTCATAGTAGATACTCTGCCAATGGACCAAAAATTCTATAAATTTGATTATTTTTGCAATCGTTTTCAATCCTTAAGATTTGTAGTTACCACGGAAATACTAAGTATTATAACATCCATGCTTTTCAGCTTACAACCAAATAAGAGGAGGATTAGCAGATACCTCAACTCGCTTGCGAATCAGATGACAGAAAACAAAGATGAACAAGAGGTAAGAGCATATTTCAGTTGAAAAAAGTAACTGCCATCTCTTCAAGAGGTATGAAGCTCCTCATACCTCTTATTGTTCTACGTAACATCTTTATACAGTTTAAGCAGTTTCTTGTACAGACTTGACATTTTCTCGGACTGGAAGGGATTTATTATTACTGTTAACCGGAGTGGTTCTGACCTGATCAATAAACGTAGTCTCTCGGTTTTTTTCTAAACTGAAGCAGACGCGTAGAGAGTACCGGTGAATCTCGATTGTTGTAAGTTGCTCAAAGATGCGTTGTGCAATCCAATCTTTTCTGCGAAGTTACTAACAATAACAGCTTTTTTAAAATCCTGTTAAGCCTCCCAAAGAAGCTTTGCAGATGGGTGGAGGAATTCCTCTCTGGCCGCAAGATATTTGTCGTAATTTTCATCCTACAATGTCAACGCGGGTGTTTTTCAGGGATCGGTCTTGATTCCGACATTGTTTCTCTTTTATATCAACGTCTTTCTTTGCTGATGACAACACCACCTACATGCAGGAAAGAGTGACAAGCTGATCTTTCCTGGGAAGCTGGAGAAAAGAACTCAACTAATCGATTCTCCTCTTTATCAAACAATGTCAACGGGTGTTCCCCAAGGATCGGTCTTGGCTCTGACACCGTTTTTATCACATACCAACGACCTCCTTTCCTGTATGATCAGTTCCTTCCACAGTTTTGCTGATGACAGCACTTTACGTACAGGAATTCAGACTTCCACTCCGATCTCTGGAGATCTTTAGGATATAACTACTTGGGGATGCAACAAGCTACTACAGTTTAATGCTTCACCTTGACTAGCTTGAAGCACCATAACGCTCATCTGGTTTCGGTGGATGGCCAAGCTCTATTAGAGAGACGTTCATTTCCAGATGCAAGATCATCGAGGACTTGGTCTGGCACGAATGCATCTCGTCAATCGCGGCAGCTTCTGAAAAAAAAACTAAGCTTCTCTCCACATAACCTCTTCACCCGGTACAAGGCTGAGTTAAGGCGTTGCCTTGAGTACTGCTCACGTGCTGGCGTCATGACTACAGTATCTATGCTCGATGTTTTGGCCACCCATCCTAACCGTGTCGAACTTCATACATCCAGAATTGGCTGGTTCAACCACTCCTTTGTCCCTAGGACTTCGAGATTGTGGAACAGTCTGCATGAGGCTCTTCCCAGTCCTAAAACTCTTAGACAGTTCAAAAGCGGATTGACGAAGTGTGTCTGTCTATGCCTGTGCTTTGGTATAACATCTAATTTTACCTGTCTACTGTTTTGTCATTATGTATTTTTCTTTCAGTTCGAACAATTTATCGAGAAAAATAAAGACAGCTTCTCCGAGGTGAAGAAAGCGGTTGAGCAATCCTTGGAGACAGTGAAGATCAACATCCAATGGCAGAACAAGCATGCGAGCAACATAAAAAATATACTGACGAAATACGCGCATAGTTCATAGATTTGCTTCATCTTTTAGTTATAGCGAATATTGAGGACTGATTCAAACATAAGCTCCAAAGGAAGTGATTTATTAATTACTGTCGCAGTGTCTCCTCAAATTAAATGTACTTAAATTATTTTAACAGTATCAATATGCCTTGTTTAGGTATCATCCAATAAAAATTTACCATCAAGCAATTGTTTCATTAAGCTATTCCTATATACTCGATTTTTCTCTTTTCAATATAAATCTTCTTGTAACAAATCGATTTGAGGTAAAACAAATGTTTGTTGTGTGTTTCTGATGGTACATTTAATATTAGTTTCTACAGTGTGGCAAAAATGAGAAACATTTTTCTCCAAAATGTCCGGAGGGACTTACTATGAGCTTTTTCATCCATCACACAGATGACGCTGTTCACACAAATCGGTTGAAAAGTGTATCTTATACAATTGGTATAATAAAGATGGGCTAATATTATTAACAAAACTACAAAACCATTTGAATAATAGCACCTACATTTAAATAATTAATCTTAAAATACTTACAAAAGTAATTGAGGCTGTTGCTAAATATTCTCAAGTGAGTGAATGAGAACACTCAGTAAACTGATGAAAACTGGATCTGTGATAGTAGTAGTTAACTTATAAAATACTCATAGTAATTTGTCAAAAATAATACCACGGACTTACGATGTCAAAAATCAAAAGCAATTATGAAAAAAAAATTAATGAAATAATTAATCCTTTATGAACACGCTTAAAGTGAAAAAATCAGGATTTAGAGAAAACGGGATGAAACAGGCAAAATTGTTTATATTAATTTAGATGTATTTATGATTGTGACGGGTCGATATTAGGTGAAATATGTAATCGTTCCAACTTTACACAGCTTAACAAATATGAATATATGACAATAAGATGCTTAACGTCAGCCTTTTATTCATACAATTATCTGTCAAAAAATGTGATATATCTCTAGTTGCAAACATTTAGAACGGTGTTTCTCCCTATCAAGAATCTTAACACTGCTATATTTCATTGAGTGAGCTGTGGAGTTAACATGTGATACCAAAGCATATCTCTTAGGATCCAATCTTTAATCACTTTTGTGTAAGGTAATGCTTCCTTTCAAGGATCTAGAGGTTATCGAATAAGCTTATCCACGAAATCCTGTCTTTCATATTCAAGAAAATACTATTCATTGTGAGAACTGATTTACACGCATTTCGACAATTTAACGGGTTGCATAGCCTGGTCAATTCAAGAGCTGAGTCTTTAATATATGACAAGATAGCAAAACCAGGTCTGGAATTTGAAGTTATTTAGGCACTTTTATCATTATTATTGGAAAATGTGTTGACAATATTATTAGAAGAAGTGGTAATACCAGTTGCATTATTATTATTGGAAATTGGCGATATATTGAAAGCATAACTGAACAAATATTTGAAGAATGAAAAAAACTGTCAGAGGGGTTGATTACCCTTGTTGTCATTTGTTTCACGAAACTAATATGTATACCAAGTTTATGGTAAGAGCTGAAATTAAGGAACCGTCCTGAAGACATGGGTTTCCTGTTCAGATGGAAGATACACAATAATGTCATCTACATTTTTCTTTCATTACATCACATATTCCGCCCACATTGGTGATAACACTGAACCCATTGGGCAATCATTTGTTTGTGAAAAGATTTTATCATTAAAGGAGAAATCATTACTCTCCATGACGTGCTTGGTCATTTTGAGGTCAGATAAATGTTGTAGTAAACTACCTGCTTTCTGTCGGAGATATAACAAAGCAAGACATTGAAATTATTTTTTTGTTGCATTAACATGGTGGAAAAAATACTCATTGCCAAACTAAATATTGAATTGCTATAAATATTGCATTTTCTTCTTCAAAACGAAACACCTTCACATTTATCCAAAACGAAGGACCTATACTTTACTTCCACGCGAGCTGAGCCGTGAGTTTAGTCTAGTTTATCTTATAGCGTTGTCATACAGGCTTCCAGCAGGTTCATGACTTTCGAATATCCAATAGCATGTATCTATCGCGCTATTGGTAAAAAGCAGAAACTGCATGAGTATATGTCTCGTAGGGAATACTTCTCATGCGCTCTATAATATTTTTAATATCTCCCAGATTACACACCTAAAACTATATTTTATCTACAATGCTTTGCCATTGGATACCTTTTTCGCTATGCAAATAACAGGTTATATGCATAATAAGCCCCTATGTAACTTTCTCTGATGTGTAACAGTTTAATGAGCTATAGAGCTTAAACTTTAATAGGTACAATCAGTTAACGAGGTTCACGGCATACTCGAACTTCTTTACTATATCAGAAGTTTCTAGAGCTAATATCCTTTTCAGACTTTCAATGTAATTATGGAGCTCAAAAGAATTCTTGCGATGTCATTAAGAACTTATAAGACACTTAAAGCACTGCATTACTTAAGTTTGTCTTGGGAATTGGACGTACTATTTGCAAAAGAAATCTTTTAGACACTTGTAGACCAGTCGTACTTATGGGGAAATTTTTCTAGCTCGAGTTTCTTTGACAATGTTGAAAATAACAAATGTTTTTTATTCTGAAACTTGCTCCCATCAAAACTGTCGGTATATATATATATATATATATATATATATATATATATATATATATATATATATATATATATATAACTTGAGACGTGGTCATTGTCGTCTAGACCAGTTAGGTGAAAAATTAAAGCTTCCGCCTTTTGTTGGGTACTTCGACAAGATTTAAGCAAAGAGGACTCTTTATACTTTTTTTAATTCTCTCTAGCTTTCAATGGACTTTGCCATCATCATCAGGAGCTGCAATTACAATGATAACAGTAGCAACAAAGGTGTAAAATGAATTTAAATTGACTCAACTTACAGTAGTATGTGAGGATGTTGCTAATTGTTGTTTACGTATAAGATGAGGGAAACGTCCAGTAACATGGTGAGAGCTGAATATATTGCACAATAGTCAAAATTTATACAAAACATGACAAGAACAAGTTAAAAAGAGATTAAAAATTATTTAAAAAATTTTAAACATTACATCGTGAAACCACCTGATGATTGCACAAATTAGTGGTCATGGAATGATGAATTGATGAGTGACATGAAACCCTTTGACAGAAGGCCGAAGGATGTCAATGTCAGTATTGAAAGATGGAACGAATTGTGGGCGTGTGCCAAAACGTTGCCAAATCACTTCAGATGATGAGATTTTTAGAATTTTATGTTAGAATTTGTTAAACCGACCAGAGGCAGTTGAATAAACTATATTATTATTAATGGGAATTTAAATTGACAATTATTAATAAATCGTGAGGAGAGAATTATTATATTTTGAGTGGAATGAATTTTACTGGTGGAAACGGCCAAAACACAGATTCTAATTATGGTTGTGAAGAGTTGAAATTTGGGGAGATATGTAAGTTCTCCAATTTTTCGCAGTTTAGCAAATATGAGTAAATGACACTCAGTTGTTTAACATCTGTCTTTTTGTTGATACAGTTGTTATTCATGAAAATGTGGGACATTTCCAGGAATAAACGTTTGGAAAGGTGTTTTTCTTTATCAAGAACTTTGATACTTGTGTAATTCATAGAATGCCCTGTTGTGTTAACATGAGATGCTAGAGCGCATCTTTCAGGATGTAGCCTAGCATCACTTTTGCGTGATGTAATCCTTCCTTTAAGAGATCTGGAGGTCTGACCTATGTATATTTGGTTGCAGTTGTTGCAATTGATGGAGTAGACTGTGTTGGTTAAACCAAGCAGCGGGACTTTGTCTTTCATTTTTGAAAAAATGCAGTTTATAGTGAGGACGGATTTGCAAGCAATTCGAAAGTTCAAAGGACTGCACAATCTGATCAGCTTAGGGGTCAGTTCCTTGATGAAGGGCAGGACAGCAAAACCAGGTCTGGAGTCCGGGTTGGTGCTAGTACTGTTAGGATTGATGTTATTATTGGGAATTACATCAGTTCCGTTATTAGGGGTTGTGCGACTATTACCTGCATCACCAGAGTTCGGCAAAATATTGGAAGGTGAACTAAAAATGATCTTGTTAATCAGACACTTCGGATAACCATTATTGATGAACAGTTTTGATAGTTTACGTAAATTTGAGGTGTGGAAGGTATTATCTGAGATGCTGATTACCCTTGTTTTCATCTGTTTTACCAAATTGATTTTAATCCCTAGCTTATGGTATGACCTAAAATTGAGAAACCGACCTGAGGCCATAGGTTTCTGGTACCAGTCTACCAATAAACTGTTGTTGTTGGTGCGAATGAGTCTTGTGTCTAGAAAGGGGACAGACAGGTTCTCATCTTCTTTTTCAATGGTAAATTGGATGTAGGGGTCATAGCTGTTGAATTCTCTGACAATACCATCCAGACCTATGGAAGGGAGGCATAAAATAATGTCATCTACGTATTTTTTTATGAAGAAGAGGTTATAGGGTAGTGTCGGAATAACAGTATCAAGCAGATCATCCATGACATATTCCGCCAAAATTGGTGACAGAACAGATCCCATAGGACAACCATGTGTTTGAGAATATATTTTGTTGTTGAAAGAGAAATAATTGTTATGAAAAAGGAATGTTATAATGTTGGTGAAAGATTCTAGAGATATGTTGCAGTGTTGACTTATCTCATTCCAGTGTTTATTAATAGTTCTTGTACATGCATCCAGATAGATGTTGCTGAATAGCGACACCACATCAAGACTGGCGATAATATGATCGGCTGGTATTGTCAATCTATTGAACTGACGAGAGACTTCAAATGAGTCTTTGATGTAGTAATCATTATCTGCATGTGCTGATTTTAGTGTTGTCGATATTAATGAAGACAAAGCTTGGGTGGCTGAACCTATTGATGCAACTATAGGTCTTACTGAGAGTACAGGTTTGTGAATTTTCGGAAGTGCATAAAATTTGGGAGGGACAGAGTTATAAGTAGTCAAAGTTCTTTTTTGTTCTTGGGTTATTTGTCCAGTGCTGAGGAGTTCCTTAACAATGTCATTACTTTTCTTTTCCACTTTAAGTGTGGGATCTTTATTAATTTCATGATATGATGGGTCATCATTGATGAGATTGTTGCAAAGATCTAAATAGTGTTGTTTAAGCATTATCACTGTAACATTGCCTTTGTCAGATCT